CAGTAAAAAGTCTCAGGTTTTTATCAACCTGCTGCATCAATATGAACATGTTCAGTCTTTACAGTATCATGTTCTTTGCTGTTTCACCTCTCCTTTCAGTCTCTCTTCTTTTGGAAAAACAATGGGTGACTTTTAACTCAATATACTGATGTCCAAGATCCTRTGCATTACCAGCTGAAATATAAATGCTTATTTCTGCTGCTGCAATCCAAACCTCACTGGTCAACAATTTAGCTGCTCTGAAATAAGACAGTTTTTAATTAAATTGCATTTATTATGTGGTTTTACTTGAACTAAGTTTGACATGATGGGGGAAAAACATGGAGGCTTTTCTGTAAAACACATCATGTTTAAGAAGAAATAAAAAGAAACACAGAAAGTCTAAATTTACTGCAGAACTGAAATGTGTGCTTTTGATGCTCTGAGCCAAGCTGCCTATCCCCGCCGAAAGCGCTGAGTACCAAGCCATGAGCACAGTGACCGATGTCCACAGGACTGCATCGCTGGCGAATCCCAAAAGCCATCCTCTGAACGTGACCCTGCTAGCGGTGATTTTTGTCGTACCGCTTCTCAAAGTCTCTGATGTTCCTCGTGACGTTCTCGAGGTCCTGCTTCCAGGAGCTTCACGCTCATGTTCACGACCTGCAGCAGGTCCATCATGGCATTCCTGGGATAACACTCTCTTTCAGCAGGTCCGAAAAGGACACTGGTCCATCAGATATGTGCACTCCTTGGAACGGTTTCAGCAGAGGTGAACCAAGGTAAATTAGCAGAACTGAGCAATTTAAAACATATACGGATTTTGAAAGAAATTAGAAAGTTCATTGCTAATGTGCTTAAAATAAGTCAAGTTAACAACATTATTGAGACATGTTAAACTCAAGTAACTCTGTCTCTTTAAGAACATCCTAACATTACTGACAATCCCACTTCAGCACATATTCACAACAATGCTTCAGTGGAGGYGTGCTCTGTGGGGTGGAGCTCGGCTACAGACGGAGCTCCAGGGAGGAGTTTTGTGTAAATAGGCGGAGCTTTGTACCAACAAGCGTTTAGTTAACTCCACATGGCTACAGGAGATTAAAGGATTTCTCAGACATGTATGAGTGAGTCAAAGKAACACTCTGGTTATTATTTTGAGGAGAGAATGACATTATAACAATTTAAAGCTAAAAAAAWTTTTTTTGCACAACACTTCCCACCATTTAACGAAATAGTACAGTTAACTTTGAAGTGATGCTCAGTTTAAATCTGGAGAAAAAGGCATATGTCTTTGTCTAGGATTGGCTAATTGTTAGCCAAGAGTGCAGAGGGTCTCTCTCTGTTATACAATAAAGACACAAGAATATAACACAGTCTACTATCTAATATCTGGTGCTGAACAGATTCTTCCTGTGGAGACAGATTCCTGTGTCCCTCATCCTGTGTACATGCCTCTGCACCATCAGCCTATAGCGATACTTCACACACAGTATGTTTTCTGGTTGAGAAACAGCAAGAAGCAAGTTTCATACAAAAGGGCAGAGGTTTAACAAACTGTTCTCAAAACTTTCAATCAGAGCCCTAGCTGACCAATAAAAGTAAATAATCACTCCTTTGGTTCCATTTAATGAAATACCATTGGAATAAAAACCACAATGTGCTCTTTAGCTTTGGTAAGGGTCAGGTGTTCATGAGTACAAAAGTAGAGTCTGTTTTAAATTAGTTGTTTTAATGTTTTATTTACAACTTCTCATGATTCTATGTTGGGAGACCTTGTAAAAGTAGAAGAAAACAGACAGTGAGCAGGATCAGTTATTATGTTATATTCATTAAAGAATAACTAATCTACACTGGATCTAAAGATGCTGCTATAACTTTAGGTCCAATAAAACTCCATTTCCACAGGTATTGATGATCTAAGACTGCATCTCATAAAAAGAACCAGGGAATGTGGTTTTCATTATTTTGACAGTAAACACTCATAGTGTGACAGTGACATTTTGTTCCATCAATGTAAAGTCAGCTTGATAATGAAATAATTTCTCAGGATGATAATTCAGCCAGACACAGAACAAACAGTTTAAATTTTTCTTTAGAAAAGCCATCCCCAACTTTATGACTGGGCAAACCATCCAGATCTTTTTCTGATTGAAAATTTCTGGTGGAAAATTAGAAGAACAAAAGGGTCCTTAATGAGGCTCTGTGCTGTGAAGCTGATCTAAGAAAAAAATAAAAACTGGAGTGTTATTGATGAAGAATAGTGTTTTTTCATTAACAGAATCTGTGCTTCAAAACATTAAGGCTGAACACAAGGAGCTTCAAAACTAAACTTTACTTACAAATAAAGGACAAGGAGACTGAAGAAGCATAGAAAGAACCAGAACTGTTGTTTAGACAATATAATGTGCGCTGAGGAGTGAACAAAGACTGGGGTTGATGGGATAAGTGGCTGCAGCTGTGACACATGAAACAGGGAGCAGGTGGAGATGGGCGTGGCCTCCTGACTGACCAGTGAAACACGAAAAACAAACTAAACACAAAGGAAACATAAAAATATGAAATAAGCACAAAAATAAAAGTCAAAACAGAAAGAAAACGCTTACAAAATTTGTTTATATGCTGACGACTTTCTACAAAACAGAAAGTAAACACTGACCATGACAGCCAGCGTGGTGATTACAAACTCTTGTTGTCATGCTTGGTGTTGCTGATGAGCATCCTGGGGTTGAGGGTTCTCTGTGGGTGTCTTTGATCAAACTAACCATCCGAGAAATAAGTGGACAGTCTGTCCTGCCTAAGCCAGAGCCGCCCTATTAACAATTTCAAGGCAACACTGTGCAGAATAATCAACAAAAAGATTCCAGCACCACATGTGTGTAAACCAAAGTGAACAAATGTAGTTTTGAAAGCTTAAGCCGATGAAGGGCTTTAGCCGAAACCACAGTGTGCTCAGCAGAGAGAAGGGCTGTTTCATGTGAGATGCTTCACTTTGAGGTGCGTATCAGAGCGAGCGGAGGAGGCAGACACAAGAGGCAACATGATTCAGAGCTGAGAGACTGATCAGAGCTGTTTGTTGTAGGGATGAGTGTTTAGCCGACAATGTGGCAGGGAAGAATTGTAATATTTTGAATGAAGATTAGAGTAACTTCTTAAACAAAACATATAGCTTTGTTTGCACATGTGGGGGGAAAGGGCTTAAATAGTGCAACAGTGTGTAGAACTGTAGTTTATAAATTTGCTTTGTGTTAATTCAGTGCAACAACCAGAATAAAGGCAGCTGTGTCAGTTCCCACGAAACCCCATGTTCCCCGGTACTCTGCTGCATTGTAATTCAGTAAGGAGGTATGGAGAATATTGGTACCGAGAAAAATTGGTTTAGGTGGCATAGACACCAAGGAACATAGATATCATGGCATATAAACAACAGGGAACATAAACACCAGTAAACATACAGTATGTACTGTGGAACATAGATATAAGGGAAACTAGATACTTGTGATGACTGGTGTCTTCTGAGCTCTGTTTCCTGGTTGGTTCCTGTCACTGTCGTCTCACCAGTGGACAGTCCTCCTGATGAGCACCTGGGGTTTAAAAGCATCTTCATGCAGTCTGGTCTTCGCTGCTGCATCACACTGTTTTGGTAGTGTTCTAAAGCCTAAGCTTTAAGTATTAAGTTTACTAAGTATTTTGTAAGTTACTTACTCAGTTCTTTTTTGAACCTACTCCTTCAAGATGATTCCACCACGTTGGGTCTGCTCCAGGAGGAGTTTTCATGTCACGAGGGATTTTCACTAAGGAACCTAAGACAACTTAGTTAAAGGACATGCCACAAAAAAGCCACTCTGCCTGAAGATAACTACCCACCTTTTGGATTTAATCTCGTCAATGCCACAAGTCATCACAAAAGCCATAAGAGAACCAAAAAGCATATTATCACATCCATTATACAAAGACTTACCTTTTGCTGTGATCTTGGACTCACCTGGATTCCTTCCCTTTTTCCGATCAGATGACCACTCTCCACTGCACCTGTAAATAAACTCACTTACCTTGATAATTGTCTCTCCCTGATCAGTCAGTTACCACTCCAGTCTGACTATTTTGGTAATCTTGTCAGTATGCAGCAGCCAAGCGAAAAGTCAGCAAGTGGTTCTGGGTCAGATCAAGCCCAAGCCTCTTTTCAGTTTCAAATAGGACGCATAGATAATGATGAAGCTTTCTTACAACATTTAATGCAACAACAACAGTTTCTGGAGCTGCCCTGGACAAATTATGTGATAGGATGGCTGCCGTAGACAGTAAACTGAGAACTCTGTTGCCTCCCTCTGCTCCAGCCCCACATAAGCCCCACCACCTGTAAATGCTCGTGAACCATAATTCCGACCCACTGAATTATTTGATGGTGATTTGGACAGGTGTGGTGGTTTTCTGCTGCAGTGTAACTTGGCTTTCATTCGTTCCCCTTCATTGTTTCCTGATCACTTCTCAAGAGTTACTTACAGTATGTTGTTAAAGCTTTAAAAGGAAGAGCATTAAGATGGGCTCATGACTTTTTACAGTCCCATTCCTATGAAACATTAACATATCAATGTTTTCTTCAGGAATTTTGCCGAGTGTTTGATCACCCCCTCTAGCAGGAGGCAGCCTCTAAGCGTCTTCTCTCCTTACACCAAGGGAAGAGGTCTGTGGCAGATTTTTCGGTGGATTTCCAGATCACCGCGAAAGAAGCAGGTTGGGACAATCCAGCACTCAAAGGAATTTTTGTTAACTCATTGTCCGATGTGTTAAAGGATCGGTTGGCGACTCGTGACGAGCTGGATTCCCTCGACACTCATTTGTTTAGCCATCAAGATTGACCAGAGACTCCATGAGAGGAGACATGAAAGGGACTACAAATCCCAGCTGCCTAACACTTCCGCATTCWTTTCGCCTCTAGCGCAACAATCAGCGGAATCTATTCCACCTGAGATGGATTTTGAGCCAATGGAGCTGGGAAGGAGTCGCTTAATGTCGGAGAAATGGCAGAGATGGTATGAAACCAAAGCATATTTCTACTGCAGAGCTAAGGATCATCTCATTGCTAAGTGTGCCTTGCTGGTAAAAGGGCAGACCCACCAGTAAAAGAGGGGATTCTGGTGGGTCATTTCAAGTCTTTCCCCGACACTCGTCTTTCTCTGCACACAACCATCYTTCACAAACAAACAAGACTCGCTATCCACACTCTGATTGATTCTGGAGCTGAGCAGAATCTCATTTCTTTGGACCTGGTACAACATCTTAAACTGAGTCCTGGACTCCTGGAACCTCCGCTGCCTGTTATAGGGTTTACTGGACAAAACTTAACAGAAATTACACATCGAATCTCCAACCTGCAATTCATCTCATCTGGTAACCACCGCGAGATTGGTGAGTTTTTTGTTATTAATTCCACCACTTAGTCCTAGGTTTTTCATAGCTAAAAAAACATACTGTATATACAAGATTTCTCCAATGGAATATTTAATAGTGACTGTGGAGGACCGGAGACACAACCCCCAAGACACGAGGCAGACATAGGGAAGACCAGAGCCTGAGAGGGATCCCTAACGCAGAGCCCCAAGGGGCACCCGCACGGGAAGATCCGCCCACCCACCCCCCAGATTAGACCATATGGAGAACTGGGAGAGTCCCCCCAGCGACCACACGCACAGCCCCCGGGGCCAGCAGCGACAAACTTATGGGCCCCACCGGCACCCGCCCATGCCAGAGCAGATCCAGGAAAGGGCACAGAGGTCCGGGCCCCCAAGACCCACCCCCAGGCCAAAATCCGACAGGTCCAGAGGCCCCAAGCCCCAGCAGGCAGTCACCAGGCCAGGCCGGCACACACCCCAGCGCCCAGCCCCAGACCCCGGGAACCCCTAGCACGCRGGCAGCCAGCCACACACCCCACCGGGGGGCCGAGTGGCAGCGGGCCCCCAGATAAACCAGCAGTAGGGGCAGRCCAGACRGCAGCCTGACAAATACCCAAACATACACAATCGCACCATCCCACCCTCATCCTCACCCCCACTCAATCAAAGACATACAAGGACGCCACATTCCATTCTTACACCCGATACATACTCTATACCCCCCAGGTCCATGACATGCATCCACCCCCTATTGGAGYCAVCACACACCCGAACCCAGGAGGTAGACCCAYTCATTCTGAGGTGGAGAGGAGCAGGTAGCCAAGGCCCAGCCCGGGCCGCACCAGGATGCCCGGRCAGCCCCCCGCCGCAGAGAAGCCACACCCATGACCACCKCACCACACCGCCAACGACCAAGTGCACCCCCCCAGCCCTCCACCCCCCGGAACCCYGCAGCCACCCCGGCCAGGGGGCCACCCACAGGAACCAAGAGCCACACCTCAGAGACAGACCAAGCAGCACCAGGGAGGATGGAGAGCCAGCCCCGCCCCCGGCAACCATCCAAGCTCCGAGCCCACCCAAAGCCCAGGACCGCCACTTGCGGTCCGCCCTTCTTCAGGACCCCCTCCCCAAATGGCAGTCGGGGAACGGGATGGGAATAAAGACCCTGACACCCACACCCCCACCCCCACCCCCAGATGTACTGTTGGTGCATGTTGTTCTATAGAGTAATTGAAAAAGGGATAGAGGAAGAGGCAGAGGCTGGCGTGGTGCCAGTTTCCCCTCCACCACTACTCTAACCCAAAACCCTGAGTGTCTATATGCAAACCTTGGGGGGTGGGCACAGGCACTGGAGGCAAGAGTGGTGCCATCCGGCCACTTATAGCCATGAGTGCCCACCATAAGTTCCTGTATGTGAATTTCATGAAAATGTTATGATTGAATGTCTAAGATGTACAATAAAATTTGGGGCCTAGGTGGTTATGGCAAATACAAATGTAATATTGTTGCTCTTATAAAACAACGGTGCCCCAAAAAAACCCTACATGGGTGAAGTTGAAAGTGAAGAGGATGGAGGTGTGCGGTGAGGGATGGGGAGAATAAGCGGAAGGAGCAAAATGCTCCCATAGGGTGTCAGTTCCCCCGCTGGCCCCAGTAAGCCCTCCCTTTCCCTGAAACCCAGCCAGGAAGAGCAGCCCAACTACCTCTCCCTCCAGGCAAACGGCCAAGCCCACGGAACCCCAGACCATGGACTGACAGAGCCCCAAAGGCCACCAGAAACCGGGACCAACACTCCACCCCCCCAGAGCCACCCAGACCCCCAAAACTCGACCACAGCCCCATAGCCGGCCCGCCGTCCAGAGAGGCCACCATTCCCCAGCAAGGACGGCCTGGCTAAGAGTGCCCACCCAACTGCTAACAGAGCAAGGGGCACCCAGGGCGGGCCCCCGCCACAGCAAAGGGGCCAACCAGCCAGCCCAGCACGGCCCCCAGCCACCACCAACGGCCACCAACCCAATCCCAACCCCAGAAGACATACTGCACCCACCCCAACATTCGGGCCACTATCAGAACATACCCAGGCTGGGTCGACCCCCCGCCACTAGCTCCATGTCACGCCCCCAGCCAATCCTGCCCCCAGCCCATGAGAACTGCAGACCACCAGCGCACCAGAGGCCCCCAGCCCAGAGCCGGGTACCAGGGCACTCACAGGCCCAGGGCCCAGCAACCCGCCCGCCAGAGCCCAAGTCCCCCCGCCCCACCAGAGCCACAGCCCAGGGGCGGCACACCCCCAGAGTCCCAAGACCCCCGCGCACACCCCGGACCCACCCAAGCACGGCTAGGCAACCGGACCAGCGACCTATGACCGCCAGTACAAACTACCAGAGGGTCCACATGCAGCCACCCGAAGACATCCCCCAGAACCACCAAGGCCCTCCCCAGAGTGAGAACAGCATCACCCCCGCTCCGGAACCCCCAGCGGCCACGCCCCCAGGAAC